ACAAATTTCTAGAAACTCACTACCTACCTAAACTAACACAAACAGAAGTAGAACAACTAAATAAACCCATAACAAAAGAAAAGATTGAAAAGGTAATTAAAAAACTCCCAACACAAAAAAAGCCCTGGCCTGGATGGCTTCACTGGAGAATTCTACCTAACTTTCAGAGAAGAGTTAACACCACTACTACTAAAGGTATTTCAGAGCATAGAAAAGAATGGAATACTCCCAAACTCATTCTATGAAGCCGGCATAACCCTGATACCAAAACCAGGTTAGACACCGCAAAAAAAGAAAATTACAGAGCAGTATCCCTCATGAACATTGACACAAAAATTCTCAACAAAATTCTAGCCAATAGAATTCAGCAACATATCAAAAAAATAATTTACCATGATCACATGGGATTTATCCCAGGTATTCAGGGATGGTTCAACATTAGAAAAACAAATCAATGTAAGCCATCACATAAATAATACAAAAGACAAGAACCACATGATCTTATCAATTGATGCAAAAAAGACATTTGACAGTCCAACACCCATTCTTGATAAAAACTCTCAACAAAATAGAAATAGAAGGGATATTCCTCAGTATAATTAAGGGCATTTATACAAAGCTAACAACCAACATCATCCTAAATGGAGAGACTTCGAAAGCATTCCGAACGAGAACCAGACAAGGATGCACTTTATCACCACTCTTACTCAACACTGTGCTGGAGGTCCTAGCCAGAGCAATTAGGCTAGAAAAAGAAATGAAGGGCATCCAAATTGGTAGGGAAGAAGTCAGAGTATCTCTGCAGATGATATGATCTTATACACAGAAAACCTCAAAGAATCCACAAGAAAACTACTGGAACTAATAGAAGATTTTTGCAATGTTTCAGGATACAAGATAAACATACAAAAATCAGTTGGATTCCTTTACACCAACAAAGAGAACCTCGAAGAGGAAATCACCAAATCAATACCATTTCCAGTAGACCCCAAGAAGATAAAATACTTAGGAATAAATCTAACCAGAGATGTAAAAGACCCATACAATAAAAACTACAAGACACTACTGCAGGAAACCAAAAGAGGCCTGCATAAGTGGAAAAACATACCTTGCTTATGGATAGGAAGACTCAACGTTGTGAAAATGTCAGTTCTACCCAAAGCGATGGACAGATACAATACAATCCCAATCCAAATTCCACTGGCATTTTTTAGTAAGATGGAGAGACAAATCACCAACTTCATATGGAAAGGGAAGAAAGAACAAAGTGGGAAGCCTCACACTGCCTAATTTTAGAACCTATTATACCGCTGTGGTAGTCAAAACAGGCTGTTACTGGTACAACAGACATGTAGACCAATGGAACAAAAATTGAGAATCCAGACATAAATTCATCCACCTATGAGGAGCTGATATTTGACAAAGGCCCAAAGTCCATTAATTGGGGAAAAGAGAGTCTCTTTAACAAATGGTGCTAGCGTAACTGGATATCCATCTGCAAAAAATGGAAACAAGACCCATACCTCACACCATGCACAAAAACTAACTCAAAATGGATCAAAGACTTAAATATAAAATCAAAAACGGTAAAACATCATGGAAGAAAAAATAGGGACAACACTAGGAGCCCTAATAAATAGCATCAACACAATACGAACTATAAGTAACAATGCACCAGCACCAGAAGAGAGACTAGATAACTGGGAGCTCCTAAAAGTCAAACACTTATTCTCATCAGAAGACTTCAGCAAAAGAGTAAGAAGACAACCTACAGACTGGGAAAATTTTTGGCTACGACAAATCCAATCACCATCTAATCTCCAAAATCTGCAAGATCCTGCAAAACCTGAACAACAAAAAGACAAATAACCCAATGGAAAAATGGGCAAAGGATATGAACAGGCACTTTGCCTAAGAAGATATTCAGGTGGCTACACATGAAGAAATGCTCACGATTATCAGCCATTAGAGAAATGCAGATGAAAACTACCATGAGATATCATCTCACCCCAACAAGGATAGCATTAATCCAAAAAACACAAAATAGTAAATGTTGCAGAGGTTCTGGAGGGACTGGAACTCTTTTGCACTGTTGGTGGGAATGTAAAATGGTACAACCAATTTGGAAATCGATTAGGTGCTTCCTTAACAAGGTAGAAATAGAAGTACCATACTATCCAGCTATCCGGCTCCTTGGAATATATCGTATAGAAATAAGAGCCATCACACAAATAGATATATGCACACCCATGTTCATTGCAGCACTGTTCACAATACTAATAACATGGGAACAACCTAGGTGCCCATCAGCAGACGAAGGGATAAACAAATTATGGTACATCCACACAATGGAATACTATACAATGATAAAGAACAACGATGAAGCCATGAAACATAACATGGAGGAATCTGGAGGGCATTATGCTGAGTGAATTTAATCAGTCACAGAAGGACAAATATTGTATAAGACCACTAGTATAAGAAGTCAAGAAAAGGTTTAAACGCAGAAGAAAACATTCTTTGATGGTTACGAAGGTGGGGAGTGATGGTGAGGGTTATTTACTAACTAGATGGTAGATAAGAATTATCTTAGATGAAGGGAAGGACAGCACGCACTACAGGGGAAGTCAGCAGAACTGGACTAAACCAAAGGTAAGAAGTTTCCTGAATACAATCAAACACTTTGAGAGACAGAGTAGCATAGATAGGGGTCTGGGGACCATGCTTTCAGGGGGGCATCTAGGTCAATTGGCATAACAAAGCTTATTAAGAAAATGTTCTGCATCCTACTTTGGTGAGCGGCGTCTGGGGTCTTAAAAGCTTGCAAGCAGCCGTCTAAGATGCATCAGTTGGCCCCAACCACTTGGAGTAAAGGAGAATGAAGAACACCAAAGACACAAGGGAAGTATTAGCCCAAGAAACAGAAAGGGCTACATAAACCAGAGACTTCATCAGCCTGAGACTAGAAGAACTAGATGGTGCCTGGCTACCACCAATGACTGCCCTGACAGGAAACACAACAGAGTCCCTTATGAGCGGGAGAAAGGTAGGGTACAGAACTGAAATTCTAGTAAGAAAACCAAACTTAATGGTCTGACCGAGAATGTAGGAACCCCGGAAAGCATTGTCCTGGCTTCTCTGTCCTCCCAGAACTAAAACAGTTTTTGAGGCCAACTCTTCAGACAAGGATTGGACTGGACTATGGGACATACAGTGATAATCGTGAGGATTGTGTCTCTTAGCAAGAGACTAAACGGGCAGCTTCTGTCCGGAGGTGAGATGGGGTGGCAGAGAGGGTTAGGAGGTGGTTGAATGGACGTGGGAAATTGGGAATTGGGTGGAAAGGAGGAGTGTCCTGTCACAGTATGGGGAGAACAATTAGGGTTATATGACAATGTATATATAAGTTTTTGTATGGGAAACTAAGTTGAAATGTAAACTTTCATTTAAACTACAACAATGAACAAACAAAGAAAAGAAGTAAGGAACCATCCATGGAAGTGGCTTATGTGAGTAGTGTTCCAGGCAGCATGTAAGTCCCTTTTTAGGGTTGGCTTTCAGAAAATCTTACTGTGCCTTGTCCTTTTCTTTCTCCTCATCTCTGTCTCTGATGTCAAAGATTAGCTTGCACTGGTTCCTTTTTTTTCCCTGGAGACTGGGAATGTCTGAATTACTGTCAGGTTTCAGAATAGTATATGTCATCACTTCAACTTTATTTCCTCTTCTTCCTCATTGACGAATGAGCACTCTCTGCTTATATGCTGTGTTTTAGTCAGTAAGGGATAGTGTGTTTTTCTCCCTAATCTGTAAGGCATTACAACCGTTCCAAGGTTTCTCAGTTCTTTAGGCATTGGAGTAATTTTCCAGTAAAATAACCCAAGACAGAGTTCTACACAAACTGATTAAATACCTGCTAAAACAAAGGAGGCAGCTTTTAATCGGCTATTCCTACAAAGAGGAAAGTGACATTCTCCTCTCTAAAAATTTCCTGCAATAATCCATTGCCTACAAGTCAGTTCCAAGTCATAGCAACCCAGTTTGACAGAGTAAACTGCTCCATAAGGTTTCCAAAGCTGTAAATCTTTATGGAAGCAGAATGCCACGTTTTTCTCCCTCGGAGTGGCTGGTGGGTTCAAACTGTCATCTTTTGGTTATCAGCTAAGCACTTAACAACTGTGGCACCAGGGCTACTCCATTAATTGAGAATTTAATGAAAAATGATCTAGAAGTATGCAGAATTTTGATTGTGTTGCTTTTCCTTAAAGTTCTCATATATCCATTTTTAAAATTTTAATTTAATGAAGGTGTACATAATAAAACATATACCTTGTTGATTCCTTTTTATTTTCAACATGATTTTTCTAACTACATAATTTACTATCCAAGATTCTACAGTAACTGAAATTCATGAGAAATAGTAAATGTTTAATAATTTGAATAATATTACCAATTTTTTAAATTAAGGCTTTTATTGCTAAATGTTACCTCACATAGTTGGTTTGGTCTTGTCTCATGGGAGTTTTTAATGCTTAGTGGGTTGTATCCCAGTGAATCTTCTCTTGGTTTTGATGCCATGCAAACCGGAGAACATGATATGCAGTGGGAAAGATCAGCTGAACCATCCCTGTATTCAGTAATGTTTCATTCCCTGACTAAGTATGAAAGATTCAAAACTCTCAAGAAGTCTCTTTACCTGTCTATATCTGAATTCTCTGTCCTTACAGGAGACAAGAACCCAAGGCAGGTGGAGACTGTTCTACAAGCAGGAGCACACGAGGACCTTTCCAGCTTGCATATCTGGCAACAAATTGCAAGTGACTTAACCAGGTGTCAAGATTCCATGATAAATAGGTCTCAGTTCTACAAACAAGGTGATTCACCCTCTCCAGTTGTAGGAGGACTATCTAATATTCACACAGGAGAGAAACCTAACCCGTGTAATGAGTATACAAAAACTGTCAATGATGTCTCCAGCTTTGATCTTCATCAGCGATTATACTCAGAAGAGAAGTCTCTCACATGTAGTGAGTGTGGAAAAAGGTTCCGTTATATCTCAGTTCTTCGTAATCATCAGAGAGTTCACATGAGAAAGAACTGCCGTAACCATGATAAGTGTGATAAGGAAGTTAGTCAGAGCTCACATCTGCAGAGTCATCTGAATGTCCATACTATAGAGAATTTGCACAATTGTGAGGAATGTGGAAAACACTTCAGACAGAGAGCAACACTTAATGTTTATCGCAGAGATCACACAGGAGCGAAACCGTACAATTGTGAGGAATGTAGGGGGGATTTTCTGTACCCTTGGCTTTTTAAGGAACATCAGAAAATCCACACTGAGGAGAGACCATTCAAATGTGATACATGTGGTAAGAACTTTTGTCATAGAGCACAACTTAATACTCACTGCAGGATCCATACAGGAGAGAAACCTTACAAATGTGATGAGTGTGGGAAGAGCTTCAGGGTCAATTCACAACTTCTGTCCCATCGCAAAGTCCACAGTGGAGAAAAACCATTCAAATGTGAAGATTGTGGGAAGTACTTCAGTAGAAAATCAAATCTTCAAACTCATCGTAGAATCCACACAGGAGAGAAACCCTATAATTGTGAGGAATGTGGTAAGGGCTTCAGGCAGGCTGTACATCTTTTGATCCATCAGAGTGTCCACAGTACAGACAAGCCATTCAAATGTGAAGAGTGTGGGAAGTACTTCAGTACTAGAGCAAATCTTCGAGTTCATTGTAGAATCCACTCAGAAGATAAACCCTATAAATGTGAGGTGTGTGGGAAGGGCTTCAGACAGGCTTCACAACTTTTGACCCATAAAAGGGTCCACAGTGGAGAAAAACCCTTCAAATGTGAAGAGTGTGGGAAGAGCTTCTCTCAGAATTCAGTCCTCCAAAGCCATCAAAGAGTCCACACTGATGAAAAGCCATACAGATGTGAACAGTGTGGGAACAGCTTCAGATGGAGCAAAAATCTTAGCATGCATTGGAGGGTCCACACAGGAGAGAAACCATATAAGTGTGGAGAGTGTGGCAAGTACTTCAGTCAGGCCTCAAGTCTTCAATATCATAAGAGTGTCCACACTGGAGAGAAACCGTACAAATGTAATGTGTGTGATAAAGTCTTTAGTCGATCTTCACAACTACAGTCTCACCAGAGAGTTCACACTAGGGAGAAACCTCAGTAGTATGAGATTTGTGGTAAAAGCTTCAGTTGGAGATCAAATCTTTTAAATCAGAAAATGCATGCTGTTGTTAAATTTTCTGAAAGTGATAATAGTGATAAGAACAGAATCCTCACAGGAAAGAATTCTACTTAATGAAGATTTTAAAAAACTTATGTACACCCTGAATCTTGTAATCAAGTTTCAAAAGAGATAACATTTGTTTAATAAAATTTAATAGAACTTTAATAAAAGTCTGACTTTCAGCAAAGCACACATGGGAGAACCTTTATAAGTGGTGCAGTAAGGGCTTCAGTCAGAATGTTGGAATTTATGAGGTATCACTCAAGAGATAGGGCTTGGGAGGAATAAGGGTTTGATGTGGTCTTTAACAAAAGTATAGTGATGGGCATTCCAAAATTGATAGCCACTAGAATGTAAGCTCTGTCATAGCAGGGACTTTGCTGCTTATTCTTTGTAGGTATGTTCAATGCTTATTTCTTAAATGAATGAAACAGAGTCAATGTACAATATTTGAAATTTTTATTCAGAAAGGATACTGGTAAAAATGAATAGCCAAGAAAGCAAACATTAGTTTAAATGTGGAAAACTACTCAGTATTGTAATCTGCAGTATTAATAGGGTAGTAACATTTTGGAAACTAGGCCTGATGGCACAGTATTTAAGTGCTCAGCTTCTAAACAAAAGGTTGGTGGTTGGAATCCACCAATGGAGCTGGTGTAGTAAAGCCCTGATGATCTGCTCCCGTAAAGATTTCAGGCTAGGAAAACCTAAGGGGCAGGTTTAGTGTGTCCTGTAGGGTCGTTATGATTCACAATGGACTCTGGCACACAACTACAGCAGCGTACCGCAGTAGGCTCCCATCCTCTCCATAGCTTCTGTTTGCAGTTTCGATCCTACTATTTGGGGCACTGTGTACTGTTCAATCAGTTGGGTACAGTATAAATTGAAGTATCTTTTGTGATTTTTCTGGCAGTACAGACTGAAAAATTCTTAACATTGTAACAAGTCACTCCATATTAAACAATTGAATGGGTATTCAATGGTGTTACACAGGGTTTTTCCATAATACTTTGAAAGTGTCTAAAGTAGTTACTGTAAAAAGGTGTAGCGTTAGACCTCCTGACTTCAGGAGGGGGAGAGAGAATCATCATGGGCCCAAGACTATCTCCATGACTCAGGAAGAAAGGTCCCTCTGTACATTAACTCATTCCTTAAGTCAACAAGTATGTAGATACCTGCTGTGTACAGTGGCAGTTCTAGGCCCTGAGGAGAGAATGATAAACAAAACTTACAAAAATCTTACTTTTGGAGGTAACATTCCAGTAGGAGTGATAGGGGATAAGCACATTAACAAAAAATATATGTGACAAAATAAGACAGAGCAAGGAGAATAAAGAGGGTATGGTATTTTAAATAGGGTAGATAGACAATGCTTGTCTTGTAATATTAAAACTGAATCAAGACCTGAATGAAGTAAGGAATGGGGCTAGGAAGATTTTAGTGAAAGAGTATTCCAGACAGAGCACGTACATAGGGTGTGAGGTAGAGGCATCTAGTAGGAAAAATAATGGTCCCACAAACATTTCTAAATGCTAATTCCAAAATCTGAGAATATATTAGGTTACATGGCATGAAATGGCCATAGTAGTAGTAATAGAATCAGAAGCTAACTGCAGTGGGGATAATGACCAGGGTCAGCCCAAAGCTGATCACTGTGAGGTGGAGGTCAGGCATACCTCCACCCTCCAGCCTTTTTACCAGTTCTGACACCAGCTGTCCCTTGAATGGCACGCTGTACTTCTCTGCTGGGGTCAATAATTCATTGCAATGGCCACAGAGAACTCACAGACCGTATTCACGATTATGGGGCTTATTAGGGAGGTGACAGGTTACAATCCAGGATCAGGATGAACTTGGAAGTAACAAGAACAACTCAGGATACAGTTCTTTTATCAGAACAGCTGCTTCTAGTCCTTTGCTTCTGGGCCCCTGCTCTCGGCCTGGCCTTTGCCCTGCTTGGCAATTGTTAACAAAGCTCATTACCTCCACCAAGTGCCCTGAGTCACTCCTCTGCCAGCAAGACTTCTGCCTGAAGGTGCTCAGCACTTACCCTGCATGGGCCAGCGTGCCCACCATAGCGACCTCACTCTATAGACTGGGAAGCCCAACGCACATCTCGTACTGGTGTCCTGGTTTTGCTGTCTCCCTTTCACTGCTGCTGGACTCTACCGTGTTTGCCACTGCTGCTTGCTATCTCATTCTGTGTCCCGTGTTAGGAGGTTCTCAGTGCATGGACACTGGGTCCAAAGGATGCACTCTGCTTTTGGCTTCTCTTGATGGTGGTGAGGTCTCCCAACCCAACCTCCTGGATTGGCTCCCTTTAAGCCTAGCGGGATGGCAAATCTGACCAATCCCCTACAAAGCCTCCATGTACTGTACTCGCATGGTCCCACCAGCTTAAGACTTCCATGCACCTTATTTGCATTAACAAAACTGTCCAGTCTCCTTGGTGGACCTTTATAAGTGATTTGTATTGTCCCACCAAATCATTTTTTGGGGTTACAAGATTATGGCTAGAAGGGCCCTACTAAAGTAATTCACTGCATTGCATTACCAATGACAATTTTTTTGTCAACCTTTGATTTATCATTGATACCTGGTTTTCTGCAGTTTGTTCCAGGTTTGATATGATTGTCTTCTAATTGCTGTAGCATTATTATTATTTTTTTGGAGCAAAACTTCTGAGGTAGGGGCTATGCCTTATTTTAAGGACATTAATGCTGTTAAATTCTCTACACCATATTCTTCCCCCACACCATGAAACAAATACCAAAAACAAACCTGTGAAAGTTTGGTAATTGTATCAAACGTGTTCATTATTGGGACAGGACTGACATGCTTTTCTCTGTTGGCAGTAATGCATGATTTTTGGAAAGAAATGTGTATTGAGATGTATAATGGACTTTTCTTTAACCTGGAAATCATATGATTATGAGATTTTAAAAAATGAGTAGCACATCAGTGATACTGAATATTTTTCAAATGGATATAAGTGTTCATGTACAGGAATCTGAGTTTTGTTTTATTTCAGTAATAACATATGAAGGCATTAAAATAACAGTTTGTCGTACTGTGGTGGCTTGCATGTTGCTGTGGTACTAGAAGCTATGCGACAGGTATTTCAAATACCAGTAGGGTCACCCTTGGTGAACAGGTTTCAGCAGAGCTTCCAGACTAAGGGTAGGAAGAAGGACCTGGCAGTCTACTTCTGAAAAAAACTGGCCAGTGAAAACCTTATGAATAGTAGAACACTGTCTGATGAACAGTGTTGGAAGATGGAACCTTCAGGTTGAAAGGCACTCAAAATATGACTAGGGAAGAGCTGTGTCAAAGTAGAGTCAACTTTAAGGAAGTGGATGGAGTCAAGCTTTCAGGACCTTCATTTACTGATGTGGGACAACTCAAAATGAGAAGGAAGAGCTGCAAACATCCACTAATAATCGGAACATGGAATGTAGTATGAATCTAGGAAAATTGGAAGTCTTCAAAAATGGAATGCATAAACATCGATATCCTAGGCATTAGTGAGCCGAAATGGACTTGTATGGGCCATTTTTAAATCAGACAATCTTATTGTCTACTATGCCGGGAATGACAAATTGAAAAAGAATGACATCACGTTCATCATCAAAAAGAACATTTCAAGATCTGTTCTGAACTACAATGCTGTCAGTGATAGGATAATATTCATATGCCTACAAGGAAGACCAGTTAATATGACCAGGATTCAAATTTATGCACCAACCACTAAGGCCAATGATGAAGAAATTGAAGATTTTTACCAACTTCTGCAGTCTGAAACTGATAAAACATGCAATCAAGTTGCGTTGATAATTATGATTGGAATGCGAAATTGCAAACAAGAAGGATTTGTAGTTGGAAAATATGACCTTGGTGATAGAAACAACGCCGGAGATCACATGATACAATTTTGCAAGACCCACAACTTCTTCATTGCGAATACCTTTTTTCAACAACATAAATGGTGACTATACTGGTGGACCTCACCAGATGGAATACACAGGAATCAAATCGACTACGTCTGTGGAAGGAAATGATGGAAAAGCTCAATATCATCAGTCAGAACGAAGCTGGAACAGATAATCAATTACCCATATTCAAGTTGAAGTTGAAGAAAATTAGATCAAGTCCACGAGAGCCCAAGTACGACTTTGAGACTATCCCACCTAAATTTAGAGACCATCTCAAGAATAGATTTGCCGCACTGAACACTTAATAACCAGAGATCAGACGAGTTGTGGAATGACATCAGGGACATCATACATGAAGAAAGGAAGAGGTCATTAAAAAGACAGGAAAGAAAGGAAAAACCAAAATGGATGTCAGAAGAGACTCAAACTTGCTCTTGAAGATAGAGTAGCTAAAGCAAAAGGAAGAAATTATGAAGTAAAATTGCTGAACAGAAGGTTTCAAAGGATATTATAATGAAATGTGAAAAGACCTGGAGTTAGAAAACTAAAATGGAAGAGCATGTTCAGCATTTCTCAAGCTGAAAGAACTGAAGAAAAAATTCAAGCCTCGTATTGCAATGTTCAGGGATTCTACAGGGAAAATATTAAATGATGCCAGAAAGATCAAAAGAAGATGGAATACAAAGAGTCACTGTACCAAAAACAATTGGTCAACATTCAGCAATTTCAGGAGGTAGCATATGATCAAGAATCAATGGTACTGAAGGAAGAAGTGCAAGCTGCCCTGAAGGCATTGGTGAAAAACTAGTCTCCAGGAATTGATGGAATACCAATTGAGATGTTTCAACAAATGGATGCAGGGCTGGAAGCACTCACTTGTCTATGCCAAAAAATTTTGGAAGACAGCTGCCTGGCCAGCCTACAGGAAGAGATCCATATTTGTGCCCATACCAAAGAAAGGTGATCTAACAATGTGGCAATTATGGAACAATATCATTAATATCACATACAAGTAAAGTTTTGCTGAAGATAATTCAAAGGCGTTTGCAGCAGTACATCAACAGGGAACTGCCATAAATTCAAGCCAGATTCAGAAGAGAATGTAGAACAAGGGATATAATTGCTGATGTCAGATGGATTATGGATGAAAGCAGAGAATACCAGAAAGATGTTTACCTGTGTTTTATTGACTATGCAAGGCATTCCACTGTGTGGATCATAAGAAATTATGGATAACATTGCAAAGAATGGGAATTCCATAACACTTAATTGTGTTCATGAGGAACCTGAACTTAGACCAAGAAGCAGTGGTTCTAAAAGAACAAAGGGATACTGTGGGGTTTGAAGTTAAAAAAGGTGTGTGCCAGAGTTGTATCCTTTCACCATACTTATTCAATCTGTATGCTGAGCAAATTATCCCAGAAGCTGGGCTATATGAAGAAGAATGCGGCAACAGGATTGGAGGAAGACTCTTTAACAACCTGCCATATGCAGATGACACAGCCTTGCTTGCTGAAAGTGAAGAGCACTTGAAGTACTTACTGATGAAGACCCAGGACCACAGCCTTAAGTATGGATTATATCTCAATATAAAGAAAACAAAAGTCCTCACAACTGGACCAATAAGCAAAATCATGATAAATGGAGAAGAGATTGAAGTTGTCAAGGACTTCATTTTACTTGATGTCTTAGTTATCTAGTGCTGCTATAACAGAAATACCACAAGAGAATGGCTTTAACAAAGATAAATTTATTTTCT